GCAGACCGGTGTGGTGCGCCCCAGCACAGCACGGCGCAGTGCCATATGACAGGGTGCAGAGCAATGCAGTAGAGCCGGGCGTCGCAGTGCAGCTCAGAAGGGCGCGGAGCTGAAGAGCACAGCGTGTAATGGTCCAGCATGGCACAGCGCGGCACGGAGCGGCGCAGAAGGCTGCAGCGTTGTGTTGCATCACAGCCCAGCCATGGCATGGAAGGCAGAGAAAGGCATGGAAGAGCGCTGAGCAGTGTGGTGCCTAACAGTGCAGTACAGCACAGCATAGCACAGTGCAGCGCAACAGCACAGCACGGCTGCAAAGGATGTGGACCATGACAGCATGTCACGGCACAGCACAGTGTGGCACAGCACGGTGCAGAGTGTCACCGAACGGCACGGTACGTAACAGCGCGGCACGGCACAGCGCGGTGCGGAGCATCACTGAACGGCATGGTACGTGACAGCGCGGCACGGCACAGCACAGTGCGGAGTGTCACCGAACAGCACGGTACGTGACAGCGTGACATGGCACAGCGCGGTGCAGGGCGTCACTGAACGGCACGGTACGTGACAGCACGGCATGGCACAGTGCAGTGCGGAGCGTCATCGAACGGCGTGGTACGTAACAGTGCAGCACGGCACAGCACGGCACAGCGCAGTGCGGAGCAGCGTTGGACAGTGCGGTACGTAACAGTGCAGCACGGCACAGCACGGCACAGCACAGTGCTGAATGGCACAGTGTGTAACGGTGCGGCACAGTACAGCATGGCACAGCACGGTGCAGAATAGCGCTGAACTTTATGGCGCATAACAGCACAGCACGATAAAGTACAGCACCGAACAGCGCGGTGCAGCCCACAGTGGTGCAGACCAGTGCAGCCTGGTCCAGCATAGCACAGTACAGGGCAGGACAGCATGGTACGGTGCCAAATGATGCGGAGCAGCACAGCATGCTATAGTGTGGTATGGTACAGCTTGGCACTGAATGGCATGGTGTGGCCAAAACACGGTATGGCACAGCACAGGCCAGAGTGCAATGGCACAGAGCAGAAAGGGGTGGTGCAGTAACGCATGACACAGCACGGGGCAGTAAGACACAGTGCTGTAACATACGGCACAGCATGCGGTGCCACAGAGCTGCACAGCAGAGCACAGTATGGCACAGTGCAGCAAGGGCAGACAGGGCACCAAACGGCAGAGCACCGAATGGTACAGCGTGGAAGAGCACAGTGCAGCATGGCACAGAATGGCACAGAATAGGTTGGTGCGTCGCAGGACACCACAGTATGGTACGCAGCAGGACAGGACAGCGCAGTACGGCACGGCATGGAGCAGCGCGGCACAAGGCAGCGCAGTATGGCACGGCATGGAGCAGCACAGCACAGGGCAGTGTGCTGCAGTGCACCACGGCATGCCACAGGACAGAATTGTATGGCAGAGAACATTGCGGCATGGCACAGCACGGCATGTTACAGCACGGCATGGAGCGGTATAGCACAGCATGGAAGGTGCAGAATGGTAGGGAACAGTGCAGCGTGGTGCAGCACGTTAGGGCACGGAGCAGCACGGCACAGAACGATACGGTGCAGAGCAGTGTGGTGTAGAAGGGATACGACATGGTGCAGTACAGTGCAGTTCGAAAGGGCACGGTGCTGTGCAGCATGGCAAGGCAGGGTACAGCACGGTACAGCACAGCGTGGCACGGGGCCGTCTGCTACAGCATAGCGTGGCACAGTACAGCACTGCACAGTAAGGACTGGTAGGGTTCGGCACAGCACAGCAGGGCACGGTT